TGGCTTTAATTCCTTTAGAAACAATGATGCTACCAGCTCCTTGTTGAGAAAGATAATGTAGCTCTTGAGGGATTAAGCTATTTAGTTGATAAAAATGCGGGGCAGCGCTGAAAAGTTTGTTCCTGAATGTCTGAGTGATCTGTGTGTGCGTGTGTGTTACTGAACTTAACATCAAACTGCTTCTGTTTCACACAAATTCTGGCACAGACGTGCATGTTCGGCCAGAGTCGCTTTGAACTCGTGCATCATCGGAAGCAGAGCTGCGCGGAAAGTTACAAAAAATGTCGTGCACACCGCCACGCGAAACGACGTCGCGCGCACTCAAAGCGAACTCTGAGGTGAAATTCAGTGCAGTCATGTATCGTGATACGTATCGTATCATGGCCTCTGTATCGTGATACGTATCGTATCGTGACATTGCTGGTGATACACAGCCCTACTGTCAGTCCTGTCCACACTACTTTACTCCATTTAGAAATAGTTTGCAAATGAAAATTATGCTGTAAACAGAATAATTGGTGTTTTTCCTACTGTAACATAAATTGTCATTGAATTGACATTTGGATCTCTCGCAGAATAAATTTCAGACAGCTTGAGGTCTCAGCATTGGCAGAGCATGTTAAGTTTGACAGCATCTTTGTAACTGTACTTTTAATTATTTATTGCCGATTTGCCAGTGTGCGTCCAGGAAGAAGCAGGGTTACTTCACTCAAAGATAAAAATGGTCAATTACTCACCCTAAGGTTGTTAAACACGAAGGACTTTAGTTTATCTTTGAAACACAAATGAAGATTTTTAATGAAACAAGATATTTCTGTCCCTCTGTTGAAAGTCCATTAAACCATAATTTTGGTGCTTCATAAAGTTCATATACTGAACTTAATCCATCCGTCTGTCCGTGTCCCATCCATCCATCCATCCATCCGTGTCTTTGGTTAATTTAAATTTAATTTAACAAATTAAAAATTTAGTTTGCTTATCTTTTGGATTGTATATTCACAATGGGATGCTTTTATCTTACACAGGTTAACTGACCAGTATCAAGAAACATCACAGCACTTATGGGAACTTTTGGAGGGGAAGGACAAGCCTGTAGCAGGAACAACATGTATGTCAAGTAGACTTTTTAAACTTCTTTTTAGGGTCTGATAGCTCATAACATCTATTTGTAAGAAGTTAAAAATGAAATTAATATTGGATTTTTATGGGTTTTTGATGTGTATCAGCCTTTTCTGTTTTTTAAAGGGTAAAATTTTTCAGCCGTTTTCTTTCTTTTTCTTTTTTTTCCTTTTTAAATATTAACAAGCATTCAACTGTACTGGAAACTATTTCCTCATGATCCAATTACGTTTCTGTGCATGTTGGTACAAGGAGATTTATATGAGCATCTTCAGGAAAAATCATGTAATGTCTTTTGAAAGCTTGCATTGTTTAATTAAAGAAAACCTTTATGGCAATTATAGAATGTTGCATAAATTGGTCGGCATCATTCTTGAGTTTTTACCAAAGGTTTACCAAAGCAAGACATAAATATGGGCAAAGGTGGCAAATACTGCAGCATTCCGTCATGATGCATGTGCTGACTCAGCAGTGGGTGGAGTGGCATGATCCATGTCCCCCTGTCATCTGTATCGGTGTGATTCTGCAGCTGTGTGCTAGGGAAACTCTCCAAGGACACTGACCATGAAAGATCACTTGATCAATGTGGGGAATCCATAGGTCATGCTAGCGCCATGTTAACTTAATGGCCAGTTAAAAGGCACATTAAAATACTTCTAATATATTCACAGGATTGCTTAATTTGAACTAGTGTAAAAATATCATAAATAATCTATCACCTACAGTAGCCCTGCATTAGAAAGCTTCCAGCCTCCAGTACTTTTCTTCAGTGGTATTCTGTGGCAGATCATGTGGCTCATGGCTTATAAATACATCCATTTGCTATGTACCAGCTGGGCTTGTAGTATGCAGTGTGATGGTCCTCTATAATCGTTAAAGCTTTTCGGTATTTTAAACAAATTTTTTAGAGTCCGTTTGTTTGTAATTACTTTTTATTCTGCGTGGATCCATTAAATTGATGGAAATTGACAGTAAAAACACTTGTTACATAAGATTTATATATTTTTATGTGTTATATTTTAATGCTATTTAGACAATCCGGAAAAAATTTATCATGGTTTCCAAAGAAAGAAAAAAAAAAACAACATTAAGCAACATGACTGTTTTTAACATTAATAATAACAAATATTTCTTGAGCACCATCAACCTATTGGAAAGATTTTTGAATGCTCATGTAACACTGAAGACTGTTCAGTTTTGCATCACAGGAATAAGTTACATTTTTAAATTGTAATATTTAACTTCCTGCATTTTTGATCAAATGAATGCATCCTTGGTGAGCATCTTACTGATCCTAAACATTTGAACAGGAGTGTAAATGCTTGTTTTCAGATAAAGCACTGAATGAGATGTTGGAGCGAGTTTTGCAGAGCGGCTACTTTGACAGAGTGCAGTCTCATCAGAATGGAGTTTGCACGGAGGAAGAGGAGCAGACAGCTGCAGTGGAAGTGTCTGAAGCAGAGGAGCACCCTCCCGACACGGGTAAAACACTCTTTCATTTCACGTTGCTCAATCGAGTTACTGTCATTCTGAAACTGCTACAATACAGACTGATTTCTGAAAACTGTCTTTTATGTCTCCTAACAGAGGGTGAAATGACAGAGTGTGCAGAACCTGTTGCAATTGAGGTGACACAGGTGAGACAAGTTGGTTAAATGCACTTTGTAAAATGCAAGCTTAACGGGTCATGAAACCCCAGACTACTTTTTCTGAGATTTTAGCAGAGGTGTTTGTGTTGCACATCATAGAAGACAATGTTAGCATTCGATAGTTCTAACTGTTGGAGAAAACTGGCTAATTTTAAGCTTTTTTGCGCTATTTTCATCTTCCGGGTTTAAAATCGACATCGTGTTGACGTCACAATTTGTGACGTGGCAATGGACTATAGTACATGGATGACGCGTCGGTGTCTATTAAATTATTCATGAGACTGCGTGTTCTTATCCTATGAGAAGACGCTTCGCTTAATTATTCACAACAGCATGTGC